TGCTACCACGCTCCACTATTACACGGGTAGTATCTGCCTCACCTCTCTCACTCACGCTACCACGCTCCACTATTACACAGGTATTGTTCGCCTCCATGTCTCTCTCACTCACGCTACCACTACCACACTCCACTATTCCAGATGTAACTTGGGGAAATAGAATAATAATAATAATATTTATTATTATTATTGTTATTATTATTTGTTATGGTTTATATTATTATTATTATAATTATTATTGCTATTATGTTATTGTTATTAGTATTATTAGTATTATTATTATCATCATTATTATTTTCCTCGCTATCTTACTCTTGAACACTCGTGATGGTAACGTTTCGCCAGCGAGCCTGAAGGTGGCGCTACTGATCGGTAACCAGGACTACGAGGGTCTGGGGCGTCTGCACAACCCGGCGACGGACGTGGAGACGCTCGCTCGCTGCCTCGCCTCCCTCAGCTTCCGCGTGATCGCCCTCGTTAACCTCACGCACGCAGAGATGAACAACGCTCTTAACGAGTTCTGCTCCATGCTGCACGAGGGCGCGTATGGTAAGCCATCAGTCATCTTTGACTACTAGCAGCACCAGGTGCGAATTCCACCTACCACAGCAAAACATTTTACGCCTAATCCTAACCTTAATCCTAACCCTAACCATAATCCTAACCCTAACCATAATCCTAACCCTAACCATAATCCTAACCCTAACCATAATCCTAACACTAACCCTAACCCTAACCCTAACCATAACCGTCATCCTCACCCGGACCCTAACCTTAACCCCTGACCTTGACCTTGACCTTAACCTCTAACAAACTAGTTACAATGATCATCAAAATCTGTGAATTAAATCGTCGCTCCTCGCTCCCTCTCTAGGTGTCTTCTACTACGCCGGCCACGGCTTCAAGAAGGACGAGCTGTCGTACATGGTTCCCTTGGAAACGCCTCACAGCGCGGGCGATGATGGCGGGGTCGCAGGGTTCAGCTGCGATGACTGCCTGTGCGTGCAGAGGGCGCTAGCGTGCATGCAGGAGACGGGCGCGGCGCTTAACCTGCTCATACTGGACATGTGTCGCGCGGAGAGCAGGTAGGTGGCGCCGTCTGGTGTGCGGTATTGCTGACTACTTCTTCAGCTGTTTGTTCCTCTTTCTCTCTCTCTTCCTCTCTATTTTACTCTCTCCCTCAGTATTTCTCTCTCTCTCTCTTCCTCTCTATTTCTCTCTTTATCTCTCTATCTCTCTCTCTGTCTTTCTATCTATCTATCTATCTCTTGCTCTTCTCTCTCTCTAGCTTGCTCTCTCTCTCTACCTCTCTCTGTTTCTCTCTCTCTCTCTCTCTCTCTCTCTCTCTCTCT